TTTCGGGCTATATGACCATGTTCTAGAGGCATTTCTCCTGACGTTTCGCCTGCATCTATGGCAAGCATCCTCAGAGGTAGTGAGGTCTGTTGGAAATAGGAAAAAAGGGTTTATATATCTGTGGAATGACCAGGGTGGGACAAAGGACTCTTGTCTGCTGGAGCTAGGTGTGAATGTTTCAACTGACCACCTTGATTAGCATTTGATTGCCTGGCAGTGCCTGGAGCAATCTTTTGTTTATCTCTGTTGTGTGCTGTTGTAATTTAGAGTTTTTTAATACTGGTAGCCAGATTTTGTTCATTTTCTGTGGACAATTTCAAGGGAGACCATGAAAATGAACAAAATCTGGCTACCAGTATAAAAAAACTCTAAAATTACAACAGCAAAACAGCAGAGAGGAAACAACCAGGCACATCTTAACACCTCTCAACAAAAGATTTCCCAGGCTCAGCCAGGCCTTCAAATGCTAATGAAGGTGGTCAGTTGAAACATTCACACCTAGCTCCAGCAGAGAAGAGCTCTTTGCCCCACCCCAGCCATTCCACAGAGATATAAACCCATTTTCCTATTTCCAACAGACCTCACTACCTCTGAGGATGCTTGCCATAGATGCAGGCGAAACGTCAGGAGAAATGCCTCTAGAACATGGCCATATAGCCCGAAAAAAACGCACAAGAACCTAGCCTGGCTGCTGCCCGTTGTACCAGTTCAAACTTCCGGGCCGTCTTCAAGAGCAGCCCCACGTACAGCGCATTGCAATAGTCCAGTTTGGATGTAACCAAGGCGTGGACCACCCTGGCCAAGTCAGACTTCATGAGGTATGGTTTGAGTTCTGCAAAGGCCCTCCCGGCCACTGCTGACACCTGAGCATCAAGCGACAGCATTGAGTCCAGGAGGACCCCCAAGCTATGGACCTGCACGTGTAACTCCATCGAGCACAGGTTGTCACCCAATACCCCGGTCAGCCCCGCGATTGACCACACCTTTCCAGAAGCAGGAATGAGTCGAATGCTCTCAGGCTCTATTGACGATGATGGAGGAAACCAGGAGGACTTTTTCAACAGACTGATCACACAGGGTGAAAAGCTGGGTCCATCACTCTGGTCCTGAGACTCAAGTCTAGTCAATGCAATGGAAGCATTCTGACTCGCCGCCTCCAAAGAAGACATGTGCCCAACTTCTCAGCAAGCCAGGTCATGCTCACCGTATTTTGGAACCAGCACAGAGTAGGAATGATGTATTTCCTAGCAAAGTGGTCCAGGATCACTGGAGCAGACTAGGCTTCACTGGACATTGTGGGAGGCCATCCAAACCAAGAGACAATGTGGCATGCTCACCATAGGTGTCCGCCTTGCTCAAGGCAATGCACCAGTTCACAACTCACCTGTTTATTTGTATTTATTGTTTATTTACCACATTTGTATACCGCCTTTCTCAACCAGAGGCGACTCAAGGTGGTTCACAGTCGGCAGCGATTCAATGCCATAACAAATATCAAAACACAGTTAAAACTATTATAAAAACAATTCAACGTTTAGAATCTATATAAATGAAAATGTAATGTTCGTTTGTGGAATTTACAGAACTCAAAAACCACTGGGAGAATGGACACCAAATTTGGACAGCATACACCTAACAACCCAATGTATGTACTTCACTCAAAAAAATTGGCTTTGTCATTTGGGAGTTGCAGTTGCTGGGATTTATAGTTCACCTACAATCAAAGAGCATTCTGACCGTCATCAACGATGGAATTGAACCAATCTTGGCACACAGAACTCCCATGACCAACAGAAAACACTAGAAAGGTTTGGTGGGCATTGAGCTTGGGAGCTGTAGTTCACCTACATCCAGAGAGCACTGTGAACTCAAACAATGATAGATCTGGACCAAACTTGGCATGAATATTCCATATGCCCAAATATGAACACAGATGGAGTTTGGGGAAATAGACCTTGACATTTGGGAGTTGTAGTTACTGGGATTTATAGTTCACCTACAATCAAAGAGAATTCTGAACCCCACCAATGATAGAAATGGGCCAAACTTCCCACACAGAACCCCCATGGCCAACAGAAAATACTATGTTTTCTGGTGGTCTTTGGTGACCCTTCTGACACCCCCCTGCTGACACCCCCCCCCCCGGGGTCTTGACTTCCCAGGTTGAGAAATGCTGCCTTAAGGCCATCCAGTCCAACTCCCTTCACCAGGGCAAGAAAACATAAAGCCCTCCTGACAAAGGGCCATCCAGCCATTCACACACTCACATATATGTATATGACAGGCGCAGTATCAAAGATTTGAAAGGGACAATTTGGAATTGTAGTTGCTGGGATTTATTGTTCACCTACAATCAAAGTGTTTTCTGAACTCCACCAATAAAGGAATTGAACCAAACTTGGTACACAGAACTCCCACGACCAACAGAAAATACTGGAAGGGTTGGTGGGCATTGACCTTGAGCTTGGGAGTTGTAGTTCACCTACATCCAGAGAGCACTATGGACTCAAACAATGATGGATCTGGACCACATTTGGTATGAATATTCCATATGTCCACCTATGAACACAGATGGAGTTTGGGGAAATAGACCTTGACATTTGGGAGTTGTAGTAACTGGGATTTATAGTTCACTTACAATCAAAGAGCATGCTGAACCCCACAAACGACAGAATTGGGGCAAACTTTCCACACAGAACCCCCATGACCAACAGAAACAGACCAATACTTAAGGCCATTCAACTCCCTTCATGAGGACAAGCAAACATAATCAAAGACCTCCTGACAAAGAGCCATCCAGCCATAGATATAGGTAGAAATATATGATTCACACACACACACAGATCATAGATTGGAAAGGGACAACTAAAGAAGGTCAATGATATGTTGCATGTTCCAGAGTGGGCAAACCAGACACTCTCCACATCAACACTGACAAAGAAACAACAAGAAATACTGTTTGCCCACAAGCAGAAAGGAATTACATATATTAGAAACCAACACTTTCTCATTACTTTATTTTCCAGATCATCAGACTGGGCCACAGCAATGCCTGGCAGGGGACGGCTAGTGTAATAATAATAATAATAATAATAATAATAATAATAATAATAGTAGCAGTAATTTATTTGATCAGTCATATGACCATTTCAAAATAGAACACGAGTAAAACAAGGCAAAAATAAAAAGCAAATATATCTGTAAAAAAGAAGATTCCCCAGTGTCTCCTTACTAAAATCGTCCAGTTGCATCGTCAGTCATTCCATATATTCGTTTACGTCTAATTATGCTCCAGTAGAAAAAACTTGCTTGAAGAGCCAGGTCTTAACAATTTTGCGGAATGTTAGAAAGGAGGGAGCCAAACTTATATCCCTGGGGAGGGCGTTCCATAGCCGAAGGGCCACCACTGAGAAGGCCCTGCCTCTCGTCCCTGCCAAACGTATCTGTTGCCCAAATGGAAGAAGCATGCTCCTCTGGCTTTGGAATTCTACCACATTCCCCTTATTCACTCCACCTCGCACCCTCGGACTTCCTCCTCTTTCCAATAAGGAAGTCATTTTTGAAGAGCAAGCATTTTTCAAATGAGGAGACTCTGATTTCCGAAGTCACAACATGGCTTTTGGAGCAGCCTGTCGACTTCTACAAGCAAGGTGTTTACGGTTGCTTAATAATAATAATAATAATAATAATAATAATAATAATAATAATAATAACAACTTTATTTATACCCCGCCACCATCTCCCCAAGGAGCCCCCGGTGGCGCAGTGTGTTATAGCACTGAGCTGCTGAGCTTGTTGATCGAAAGGTCGCAGGTTCGATTCCGGGGAGCGGCATGAGCTTCCGCTGTCAGCCCTAGCTTCTGCCAACCTAGCAGTTCGAAAACATGTAAATGTGAGTAGATCAATAGGTACCGCTCCGGCGGGAAGGTAAGGGCGCTCCATGCAGTCATGCCGGCCACATGACCTTGGAGGTGTCTACGGACAACGCCGGCTCTTCGGCTTAGAAATGGAGATGAGCACAACACCCCAGAGTCAGACATGACTGGACTTAATGTCAGGGGACTACCTTTACCTTTACCTTTTTTACCATCTCCCCAAAGGACTTGGAGCGGCTTACATGAGGCCAAGCCCAACAACACATCAATAAAAACAAAAAGCAATAAACAAAAACAATAATACAATACAATTAATATAAATCACATATAAACAATAACACACAAGGATTTAAAAACCTGTGGCCGGGCCAAATTTAATAGATTAAAATTTAAAAAATAAACGCTGGGCATGACAAGGTAGGATGTATCTGGTATAGGGTTTTAAAAGGAATGAGGGAATGCAGTCCATCCTAAACCAATAGCAAAGTGCATTCTGTGGACATATTGCTGGGAATTTTCCTTATTCTGGGAAGGCACACTGGAACAGCCACGTTTTCAGGCTCCTCCTAAAACCTGCTAATGTTGGGGCATGCCTGATGTCCTTGGGAAGTGAGTTTCAGAGTCGGGGCCACCACCGAGAAGGCCCTCTCACTTGTCCCCACCAATCGCACCTGCGAAGGAGGCGGGAGCGCGAACAGGGCCTCTCCATATGATCGAAGAGATTGTGTGGGTTCGTACACAGAAAAATGAGAGAAGTGTGTGTCCCTTAGTGGCACTCATGGAGAGAAGGACTCGGAACTGGGCCAAGTTTTATTACTCTCCATCCACAGGTAGTGGTTCAGGGGAATCATAGAATCAAAGAGTTGGAAGAGACCTCATGGGCCATCCAGTCCAACCCCATTCTGCCAAGAAGCAGGAATATTGCATTCAAATCACCCCTGACAGATGGCCATCCAGCCTCTGCTTAAAAGCTTCCAAAGAAGGAGCCTCCACCACACTCCGGGGCAGAGAGTTCCACTGCTGAACGGCTCTCACAGTCAGGAAGTTCTTTAATGATCGCCCCTCGTAGATACTTTCTGAGACTTTTTTGCGAAAAGGCACATCATTGCTAGGGGAAACACCAAATATCAGAAAGTTGGTTTTATTTTCCGTTTGTATACAAGTACATCAGCTCCATTCAAAATCTCTTTTTTGCTTTTTTCATCAATAAGCAAGATTCAACAGGGTTCATTTTGGAAGTCTCTCTAGAAAAAGTACAGCTTTTTGCAGTCAGATGCAAAATAAAGACGGAAAGTGAATTCAAAAAAGTAGAACGAAAGAGATGCGATTTCAAAGCATCTCGTTCTTAGTACGAAATAAAATGGAATGTGCCTTTTCCCCAACATTACTGCAGTCTGCCATAGCTTAAGGCCTTAGCAGCGTGTTGAACTACAATTCCCATCGCTCTCCTACCAGCAATGATTGGAATTGAACTGCCAGGTTGGGGAAGGCTCTTTTATGGGGACGGGAAGCTATCGCCATCATATGCATTCTCAATTACTGTTATGGCCACTCTCTTTCCGAAAATCCTACCATATAAGACCCAAAACAGAGCTTGGCATTCTAGAGATGTGGGGCCAGTGGGTTGCCAGTCTTCTTCCCCAAAAGCACCATGGGTCGCTCTCGCTCCTCCCAAAGCGTCACTCCGTCGCAGGTGCAGATCTTCTTGGGATTTTGGAAGAGGCCGGAGGAACGGGCAATGATCCCACAGGCCACTCTGCAAAGGTAAGGCAAGACAGAATAATAATAATAATAATAATAATAATAATAATAATAATAATAATAAATAGGATTTAAAGATCGAACTGCAAAAACTCTGGCACAAACCAGTCAAGGTGGTCCCAGTGGTGATCGGCACACTGGGTGCAGTGCCTGAAGACCTTGGCCTGCACTTAAACACAATCGGTGCTGACAAAATTACCATCTGCCAGCTGCAAAAGGCCACCTTACTGGGATCTGCACGCATTATTCGCCGATACATCACACAGTCCTAGAATCAAAGAGTTGGAAGAGACCTCATGGGCCATCCAGTCCAACCCCATTCTGCCAAGAAGCAGGAATATTGCATTCAAATCACCCCTGACAGATGGCCATCCAGCCTCTGTTTAAAAGCTTCCAAAGAAGGAGCCTCCACCACACTCTGGGCACAGAGAGTTCCACTGCTGAAAGGCTCTCACAGTCAGGAAGTTCTTCCTCATGTTCAGAAGGAATCTCCTTTCTTGTAGTTTGAAGCCATTGTTCCGCGTCCTAGTCTCCAAGGAAGCAGAAAACAAGCTTGCTCCCTCCTCCTGTGGCTTCCTCTCACATATTTATACATGGCTATCATATCTCCTCTCAGCCTTCTCTTCTTCAGGCTAAACATGCCCAGCTCCTTAAGCCGCTCCTCATAGGCTTGTTCTCCAGACCCTTGATCATTTTAGTCGCCCTCTGGACACATTCCAGCTTGTCAATATCTCTCTTGAATTGTGGTGCCCAGAATTGGACACAATATTCCAGGTGTGGTCTAACCAGAGCAGAATAGAGCATGGGGAGCATGACTTCCCTAGATCTAGACACTATGCTCCTATTGATGCAGGCCAAAATCCCATTGGCTTTTTTTGCCGCCACATCACATTGTTGGCTCATGTTTAACTTGTTGTCCACGAGGACTCCAAGATCTTTTTCACACGTACTGCTCTCGAGCCAGGCATTTCCCCCATTCTGTATCTTTGCATTTGCACTTGGGAAGTGTCCGACGTGTGATCCAGTGTCTGCTGTGGACTCATCTTGCTGTGTTTCAAATAATAATGATGATGATAATAATAATAATAATGGATTATGGATGTCGCCATACCACGTGACAGTCGCATTGTGTTTCAAATAATAATCTATATAAATAAAAATGTAATGTCTGTTTGTGGGATTAACAGAACTCAAAAACCACTGGATGAATTGACACCAAATTTGGACACAAGACACCTACCAACCCAATGTATGTCCTTCACTCAAAAAAATGCTTTTGTTATTTGGGAGTTGTAGTTGCTGGGATTTATAGTTCATCAACAATCAAAGAGCATTCTGAACTCCACCAACGATGGAATTGAACCAAACTTGGCACATAGGACTCGCATAACCAACAGAAAATTCTGGAAGGGTTTGGTGGGCATTGGCCTTGAGTTTGGGAGTTGTAGTTCACCAACATCCAGAGAGCACTGTGGACTCAAACAATGATGAATATGGACCAAACTTGGCACGAATATTCCATATGCCCAAATATGAACACAGATGGAGTTTGGGGGAAATACACCTTGACATTTGAGAGTCGTACTTCCTGGGATTTATAGTTCACTTACAATCAAAGAGCATTTTGAACCCTACCAATGATAGAATTGGGGCAAACTTCCTGCACAGAACCCCCATGACCAACAGAAAATACTGTGTTTTCTGGTGCTATGGCTACCTTTCTGACACCCCCTCATGACCCCCCTAGGTGTCCCGACCCCCAGGTTGAGAAATGCTTTCTTAAGGCCATACAATCCAACTCCCTTCACCAGGGCAAGAAAACATAACCAAAGTCCTCTTAAGAAAGAGCCATCCAGCCATAGGTATAGATAGATATGATACATACACGTATATGACAGATATAATATAGATTTGAAAGGGTTTAGGTAAACCAGATTAGGCAAACCAGACAATCTCTACACTGACAAAGAAACAGCAAGAAATACCGTTTACTCACAAACATAAAGAAATTACATATATTAGAAAGCAACACTTTCTCATTACTTTATCACAGCAACATGTGGCAGGGGACGGCTAGTAGTAGTAGTAGTAAATAATAATAATAATAATAATAATAATAACAACTTTATTTTTTTACCTGCCCCCATCTCCTCGAAGGGACTCGGGGCAGCTTACAAGGGGTCAAGCCCAAAAATACAAAGTAAAACATACACAATAAAATAAAATGAGAACAGATTAAAATCAACAACAACATCAGAAAAACAGTTACAAACACAAGTGCACATTTTAAAAACAAGGGAAATAAGGTCCAGATCTATGCATTTTTTCAAATCTCCCGGCTTGACTGCTGCGACACACTTCATATGGGGCTCCCCTAGATGCCAGCTAGTGCAAAATACTTAATGGGTAGCAAAAGGCCTAAACATTTACTCTGTTTCCCCAAAAATATGATCTAAGTGGAAAATAAGGTCTTGCATGATTTTTACAGTAAGTTCTGCATAGATTTTAATATAATATAGATATGAATAGGGTTTTAATATAATATAGTCTGTTTACGAATGGAGTTTAATATAATAATGAGTAGGCATATAATAAACACTTATGAATAGGATTTTAATGTAATATTAGTTATGAAAAGGGTTTTAATATAATGAGTAGGTTTGTAATACATTTATGAATAAGTTTTAATAAAATATACAGTTAGGAATAGGTTTTAATGTAATATGTTATGAATAGGGTTTTAATTTATAGTGTAGTTATGGGTGGGATTTAGTATAATATAATGAGTAGGTTTATAATACAGCTATGAATAGGGTTTTGATATAATAGGTTTATAATATATAGTTAAGAATAGGTTTTTAATATTATATGAATATACAATATAATATAGTTATGAATAGATTATTAATATAATATTGGTTATGGATAGGTTTTTAATATAATGAGTAGGACCAGCAACTAAATAGGAGTTTGGGGGACTGAGTCAGGATGGAAGTTGTAGTTCACCCTGCATTAAGACACAGCACTGTGACTCCCATCGACAATATGCCTGGGCCACATTCGGCACACAGAACCACATGACGTTTAGGGGGAACTGACTCTGATTTATAGGAGTTGTAGTTAACCTGCATCCAGAGAGCATTGTGAGCCCAACCAACGATGGATCGGGACTACACTTGCAATGGATGATGGGACTTGCAGTACCTTCACTCACTTCCAGGGACCACTGCAACCCCCACAAGTGACGGCCCGGACCAAACTTGGGACACAAAACCCCCGTGACCAACAGAACAGACTGGAGGGGTTTGGGGAACTGATTCACCTACATGGGAGTTGTAGTTCACTTTGCACTCAGAGCACTCTGAACCCCACCAATGACTGATCTGGACCAAACTTGAGAGGCAGACCCAACATGGCCAGCTATGAATACAGGCCTGGTTTGGAGAGGATTGACCAATGATTCTGGGAATTGTAGTTCACCTATATTGTCATGTATTTTCTAATGGGAGCATTCATAAACAACAAAATCAAAGACTGGCTTTTTCCCCTAATAAATAGTGTTACCGTATATGCTCGAGTATAAGCCAAGCCTAGGCATCTAATTTTACCACAAAAAACTGAGAAAACATATCGATTCGAGTATAAGCCGAGGATGGGAAATGCAACTGCTACTGGTAAATTTCAAAATAAAAATAGATCCCAATAAAATTACAATAATTGAGGCATCGGGGGGTGAAATGTTTTTGAATATTTACATAAAACTGTAATTTAAGATAAAATTGTCCAACTCTGATTTTTTTTTTGTCATGTCAGAAATAACTTGAGAAACTACAAGTCGCTTCTGGTGTGAGAATTGGCCGTCTGCAAGGACATTGCCCAAGGGACAACCAGATGTTTTACCATCCTTGTGGGAGGCTTCTCTCATGTCCCCGCATGAGGAGCTGGAGCTAAATGAGGGAGCTCATCCATGCTCTCCCCAGATTCGAACTCACAGTACATCAATAATAAAAACAACTCTGATTAAATCATTATTCTAACCCCCTTCAATGTAAATATACTTATTTATCCTTCCAACAATAATAAAGTGAGTAAAATAATAAATGTAATAATAATAATAATAATAATAATAATAATAAAGTAAAATAATGGAAATGCAATAATAACAGTAATAATAGAGAAAATAATAAATAATAATAGAGTAAAATAATAAATGCAATAATAAAGTATAATAATAAATGTAATAATAATCATAGTGTAAAATAATAAATGTAATAATAATAATAATAAAGTAAAATAATGGAAATGCAATAATAACAGTAATAGTAGAGAAAATAATAAATGTAATAATAGAGTAAAATAATAAATGCAATAATAAAGTAAAATAATAAATGCAATAAATGCAATAATAATCATAAATCGTGTAAAATAAATAAATAAATAATAATAATAATAATAATAATAATAGGGTAAAATACTGTAAATGTAATAATAATAAAGAGTGTAAAATAATACATGAAAGAAAAATAATACTAATAACAGTAAAATAATAAATGTAATAATAATAATAAGAATAATAAAGTAAAATAATGGAAATGCAATAATAACAGTAATAATAGAGAAAATAATAAATGTAATAATAGAGTAAAATAATAAATGCAATAATAAAGTAAAATAATAAATGTAATAATCATAAATCGTGTAAAATAATAAATATAATAATAATAGGGTAAAATACTGTAAATATAATAATAATAATAAAGAGTGTAAAATAATACATGAAAGAAAAATAATACTAAAAATAAAATAATAAATAACCTTGACTCTAGTATAAGCCCCCTCGGCTTTTCCAGCCGAAAAAAGAGGTTGTAAAATTAGGCTTATATTCGAGTATATACAGTATATTCCAATACAGAGAAGAAATGCCAGGCGATTGCAGTCCCTTGAAAACCCGCTGAAATCATCTCACCTGTCTCCCGAATTTCCCGTGACCTTTGAGAGTGGATGGCATCCACGGCCCAAGTCGTCTTCCCCCGCATCAATCACCAGGGAGCGTCCAATGATATCCTGGACCTAGAATCATAGAATAATAAAGAATTGGAAGGGACCCCCAAAGGCCATCCAGTCCAACCCCATTCTGCCTTCATGCAGGAAAAGCACAATCAAAGCCCTCCCGACAGATGACCATATCCAGCCTCTAAAAAAGGAGCTTCCACTGGATTAGCATTCTACCTTCAGTCGGCCGTCTTCAATCCGGAAGGAAGCTCTTCCATCCTCTGCAGCCATAATATTACCCAGATCCCCGGCATGCTGCAAAGAGATAGACTTGCTGTTACATCTCAATAATTTAAGATTCACAACCTATTCACTGCTATTTATGTGCCACTTAGACATCCCAACGCTTAAAAATAATGTCCCAGCTTTCGTGGTTTGAATCACAGGGTTGCTGTGAGCTTTCTGTTCTGTTTGGAAGCATTCTCTCCTGACATTTCACCCACATCTATGGCAAATATCCTCAGAGGTTGTGAGGTCTGTTGGAAACTAGGCAAGTGGGGCTTATACATGTGTGGAATGTCCAGAGTGGGAGAATGATGGGACTTGCAGTACCTTCACTCACTTCCCTTGCTTCCCGTTAATATTAACTTCCCGTTAATATTGCTTTTAACTGTTTAATTTGCTTTAGATGTTGTATTGTTGTGTTGTGTTTTGAGGCCTTGGCCTTTGTAAGCTGCATCGAGTCCTTCGGGAGATGCTAGCAGGGTACAATTAAAGATAATAATAATAATAATAATAATAATAATAATAAATAATTGTCTGTTGGCTTTGCAGCTTCAAAGACTGACTGCTTCCTGCCTGGGGCAATCCTTTGTTGGGAGGTGTTAGCTGGCCATCATTCCACAGGTATATACCCCATTTGCCTCGTTTCATGGAATCCTAGAGTTGGAAGGGACCTCGTGGGCCACCCAGTCCAACCCATTCTGCCAAGAAGCAGGACAATCGCGTTCAAAGCACCCCCAACAGATGGCCATCCAACCTCTGTTTAATAGCCTCCATAGAAGGAGCCTCCATCACACTTCGGGGTAGAGAGTTCCACTGCTGAACAGCTCTCACAGTCAGGAAGTTCTTCCTCATGTTCAGGTGGAATTTTCTTTCTTGTAGTTTGAAGCCATTGTTCCATTGCGTCCTAGTCTCCAGGGAAGCAGAAAGGAAGCTTGCTCCCTCCTCCCTGTGGCCGCCTCTCACATATTTATACATGGCCCTCATCATGTCTCCTCTCAGCCTTCTCTTCTTCAGGCTAAACATGCCCAGCTCTTTGAGCCGCTCCTCATAGGGCTTGTTCTCCAGACCCTTGATCATTTGAGTCGTCCTCCTCTGGACACATTCCAGCTTCTCAATATCTCCCTTCAATTGTGAGCCCAGAATTGGACACAATATTCCAGGTGTGGTCGAACCAAGGCAGAATAGAGGGTTGAGCATGACTTCCATAGATCTAGACACTAGACTCCTATTGATGCAGGTCAGAATCCCATTGGTGTTTTTTTTTTTTGCTGCCACATCACATTGTTGGCTCATGTTTAACTTCGTGTCCACAAGACTCCAAGATCTTTTTCACATGTACTGATCTCGAGCCAGGCATTGTCCCCCATTCTGTATCTTTGTATTTTATTTTTTCTGCCTAAGTGGAGTCTCTTGCATTTCTCCCTGTTGAACTTCATTTTGTTAGTTTTGGCCAAACATCTCTCTAATCTGTGAAGATCATCTGTTTCCAACAGACCTCACAACCTCTGAGGATGCCAGCCCTAGATGTGGGCATCTCTATGCTTCCAGATCTCATTGAAGAAGTGCAAAGTAATGTGCAGAACTGACCCGGTGTTCATCCTGTGGTCCTCCGTGGCATTCTCCATCGGGGTTGAAATGGTCCCCACAGCTGCGAGGAAACAGAGGAAATTAGATATTCTATAGAAGACAAGTCTCCTGTGATGAATCTAACCTTTTTGCCAGGAAGGCCGAAGCCTGGAAAGTCAGTAGCTGACATGTTGAGAGATAGGCAGGAGAGCTAAGACGCAAGAGGGAGGAGTCAGACGACTCCTGATTGGCTAGAGCAGTCAGGGGAGGAGTTAGCTTTTAGAGGGAAAAAGGCTGTGTCTTTTTGACAAGCTGAGGAGAAGGGCTTTAAACATTGAAGAGTGTAGAAGGATAGTTAGGAAAAGGGAGCTGAGAGGAATTTAGGCAGAGAGAACTTTTGAAGTGAGCCTTGGAATTAGGGCATAGGGAAGGCAAAGGTTCCTGAATCACTGTACTTAGGAGGGTCAGTGTAGGAAAGCCTGTTTGCTCTGTGAGGCAGTCAGTGGGCTGTTCTCAGGGACACACTGTGTCAGAGTTAGTGAACTCACAGGAGACAAAAGTTAAAGTCTTAAGAGAAGACTATCTGTCTAACCAGCTAAGCCTCTGAAACACATTACGCTTTTGTACCACTCTTATTAAGAGTTGATTTGTTCACCAAGTTTAAATAAACCTGTTATTGATTCATTTTAAACTGGTGTCTGCCTCGGTCTGTGTAACCCATTAGAGCTCAGCTAGTTCAAAGACAAATCCATTTCAGTCCAGTCAGCGAAGGAAGCAGCCATTGAAGAAGAACAAAGGGCTTGAACCTAATTTACCAATTTCACATTCACACTTGTTTTCCTCAGACATATAATTGAGGTGGTGGCGGCGAATCTACCTATTACATCGGTCATTAAAATCGTTAGCTCAGTTGGTCACTTAACAATATTACTGAGGTGGGATAAGAGAGTCTTTCCCCCTCATCATAGTCATTTATCCTGGTTAAAGTAGTGTCCAGCTGAACGTTAAACCCTTCACACTGGTGACCAGAGGTGGTATTGCCTTCCCCCTCTGTCCAAGATTGTCATTCATCTTTGTTATATCTCCAAACATGGACGCTATTCACAAAGCTCAAAGGGACTCCAGAACACCCCCCACCTGCATTTTTTTACCTGTCACAGGCGTCGCTGAGGTCTCCAAACTCGTGGACATGCAGGCCGTGTGGTCCCGGCTCCAGTCCATCGACGGTCCCGTCCACTAGGCATTTCTCGGGGGAGACCTGCAAGAACCTCACCACCCCCTGGATCGGGCCAAGGCCGGATACCATGGCCACGGCCGCATTGCCTGATGGTGTTAAGAAGGAAAATACAGGGTTACACAAATCCAAATATCCTGTAATTTGACATTTTTTTGTGCTGGTCAATGACCGAAATAAATGATTTGATTTGACATTTCTTTACTCTCTATTAAAATATTTTTGATGCAAGGGTTCCGTTATATAGGAAATGATGGTAATGGCCTATTTGTTTTGAAGCCAATTGGCAGAAAAGAGGAGAGCTGAAGCCTAGAGTCCTTGATATTTTAATCGTGTTATGAAGTGGCATTGTGTTGTTATTGTATGTTAACACGTGTTGTGAACCGGTCCGAATCCCTCTTTGAAGGTGAGAGGGTCGGTATATAAAACCTCGAAATAAATAAATAAATAAATAATTGTAGGATTTATTAACTTTCTGTCAAAAGCTTTGCATATTTATTTATTTATTTATTATTTCCTGCATTATTAATTAATTAATTAATTATTTCCTGCATTATCTCCCTATGAGGGAACTCAAAGCAGTTTCCAACACAGGTAAAGGTTTCCCATGATATTAAGTCTAGTCGTGTCCGACTGGGGAACGGTGCTCATTTCTGTTTCTAAGCCAAAGAGCCGGTGTTATCCGTAGACACCTCAAGGTGATGGGGACAGCATGACTGCATGGAGTGCCGTTACCTTCCCGCAGAATCGGTATCTATTGGTCTACTCACATTTGCATGCTTTCTAACTGCTAGGTTAGAAACCATTTCCGCTCCCTTGGCAGCCTCCTCTCCACAAAAGTCAACATTGACACTGAAATAGAACTCTGCGAGTGCAGCATTTTTCTGAATGAAGCAGGGAGTTTGAGGACCGGGACATCCGTAGGGAGACCAAGGGGCTTGTTTATAAAGCTATTGTCCTCCCAACCCTGCTTTACGCCTGCGAAACGTGGAATGTCTACAGATGTCACACTCAACTCCTAGAACAGTTGTCTCTGAAAAATCCTGCAAATCTATTGGGAAGACAGGTGGGAAAATGTCAGCGTGCTGGATGAAGCAAAGACTACCAGCATTTAATAATAATAATAATAATAATAATAATAATAATCTTTATTTATACCCCGCCACCCAAGGGACTCGGGGCGGCTTACATGAGGCCAAGCCCAACAACACATCAATACAAGAAAGCAATAAACAAAAACAATACAAATGCTATACAATTAATATAAATCACATATAAACAATAAACAATAAGCAATTAACACACAAGGATTTAAAATCCTATGGCCGGGCCAAATGCCATAGTTTAAAATTTAACAAAATAAATGCTGGGCATGAACAAGGTAATGAGATGTCTGATAGGAGGGTTTTCAAAAGAAATGAGGGGAAGGGATGCTCCTCTGCCATCAACTCTGCTGGACTTGTCACGTTGTCCGAATGTCCAAAGATTACCATCTCCCAAAGCAGTTACTCTACTCCCAACTCAAGAACGGGAAATGTAACATTGGTGGACAGGGAAAGAGATTGAAAGACGGGCTTAAAACCAACCTTAAAAACTGTGGAATAGACACTGAGAACTGGGAAGGCCTGGCTCTTGAGCGCTCTAACTGGAGGTCAGCTGTGACCAGCAGTGCTGCTGAATTCAAAGAGGCATGAATGGAGGGTGAAAGGGAGAAACGTGCCAAGAGGAAGGCCTATCAAGCCGGGATTATGGCGCAGCTGGCTGAGTGTCAGCTGCATTAAGATCACTCTGACCAAAAGGTCATGAGTTCGAAACCAGCTCGGGTTGGAGTGGGTTTCCAACCAATCGTGTGTAGCCTGTTGTCGACCTTTGCAGCCTGAAAGACGGTTGCATCTGTCAAGCAGGAAAATAAGGTACCACCTTAAAAAGTGTGGGGAGGCTAAATTAACTGATTTATGAGGCCATAAAGAAGACTCCAGCAAAGCATTCCAGCGGGGAAGCATGCGGGGAATGCGGAAATGCTTCATCAGCGTCACAGATGGACGATGAAAGCGCCAGAAAAGTTAAATAGCCTCTGTGTATGTCTGTATATGTTTGTATGTCAAAAATTGGCATTGAATGTTTGCCATATATGTGTACGCTGTAATCCGCCCTGAGTCCCCTGCGGGGTGAGAAGGGTGGAATATAAAAGCTGTAAAAAAGCCAACTCTGACTGGGTCTCAGGGTCCACCTTCCACCAGGAAACCGATGTCCTTACTGTGGGAGAACATACGCGTCAATAATAGGACTCCATAGTCACCTACAGACTCACCGCCAAGACACTAGACTCAGAGGACCATCATCCTTGGGCTTTGAGGGATTGCCTAACTAAGTAAAGTAAATTTACTTGTTGTCATAGATCTGTTTGTTGTGTAATTAATGATTTTTTAAAAGCTACTTTAAGGTTTGCTGCGTAAAGAGCGAGAAGCATGACTGTGAGGAGGTGATCAGAGTGGAGAGAAAGCACACGCTGCTGTCGTGTGACAGAAGAGTAGAGGGAGATTTATTGTTTATTTCTCTGAATTCTGCCACCAACTGGTATAGTGGAGGCCAATTGTTATATGTAATCTATGGTAACTGCCACCAACGTGAGATGAGGTATCACTGTGAGATATGGCAATACAGACGCAGAATGGATGGAGATGAGACTGTCTCCAACAAAAGATAACTGGTTTATTGAGTACAAAGCATGTGGTTACAAGTTGTAACTTATTTTATAGAACTTTGAATAATACTTGGTTAGTTAAACATTTCACTCTTCCAGGTTACACAGTATCTTACTGAGGTGAAGCTCTTGTTACTAAACAATGTTTCAGTACAGGAATATCTTCCCTATTTGATCTTTCCTTGATCAAATAAATTAACAAGCTTATCCTTTAGCCTTTCCCTTGACTAAAGAAAACTGGCTATGTTTCTCCTTTCAGCCTCCTTAGACTGAGAAACCTCCAGTAGCTATTCAGGCTTCCCCAAAACCACAATTCTTTGCTTCACACTTCACTCTCCCACTCTACTCTTCACTTCCACTCTTTTACTCCTCTCAGATACAAAATCAACTCCTAACTGACTCTCAAATTGTCTGTTTTTTTGGTCTCCATGGTAATGCTGACTGAGGATCTCTGAAATAGGCTGCTCCAGTGTTACTGTAGCTAACCCAAACACATATATATACAGTTTAAAACATGCAAAGTATTAATAACTTCTGCACAATGACCCAGGAGGGAAATGGGGCTGGGACGTACCTGGCACAGTGCTCCCCATCCCTTTCAACACGGCTTTGCGCCCGGTCCTCTCCAAAAGGTTCTGGACCTCCTCGGTGCCAAGGCTGGTCTCCACCAGCACTGTCTGGGAATCCAGCTGCACATCTAGAACCTGGAGACCTGGAGCAAAATGCAGAGAAAAGTCAGAATACAACAATAATAAATAATAAAAAAACTTTATACCCCGCTACCATTCAGTCATGCCAACCACATGACCTTGGAGGTGTCTATGGACAACGCTGGCTCTTCGGTTTAGAAATGGAGATGAGCACCACACCCCAGAGTCAGACATGACTGGACTTAATGTCAGGGGACTACCTTTACCTACCTACCATCTCCCCAAGGGATTCTGTGCGGCTTACATGAAGCCGAGCCCACAATACATCAATAATAAAAACAATAACAACAAGTAATACAAAACAATAAAAATAAAACTCACAACAGAAAATAAGCAATAAACATGTAACAGTAACACAACGACGTTTAAAAACCTATGGCTGGGTCAAATGTAATAATTAAAATTTAAAAATAATGCTGAGCATGAACAGGTGAAATATGACTAGGATTGAGTTTTCAGAGAAAAATGGGCGTGCAGACACTGGCTATTGATCAACAATAAAGTGCATTTAGAGGACATATTGCTGGGAGTTTCCTTATTCTGGGAAGGTACACTGGAACAACCACATTTTCAGGCTCCTCCTAAAGACTGCTAGAGTTGGGGCATGCCTGATGTCCTTGGGGAGTGAGTTCCAGAGTCGAGGGGCCACCACTGAGAAGGCCCTCTCCCTCGTCCCTAGCAATCACGCCTGCGATGGAGATGGGAGTGCGAGCAAGGCCTCCTCAGATGATCGAAAAGATCGTGTGGGTTTGTACACAGAAATGTGGTCACGCAGGTAGGCATAGAATCATAGAATCAAAGAGTTGGAAGAGACCTCATGGGCCATCCAGTCCAACCCCCTGCCAAGAAGCAGGAATATTGCATTCAAATCACCCCTGACAGATGGCCATCCAGCCTCTGCTTAAAAGCTTCCAAAGAAGGTCCCAAACCGTTCAGGGCTTTGTAGGTAAGAACCTGCACCTTGAATTGGGACCGGAAAATGAACGGCAGCCAATGGAGCTCCTTAAACAGGAGGTTTACCAAATGAAGTACTAAATGTTGAGGTCATGGTAGAATGCCCATCTATCAATCAAAACATTTATTTCGGTCATTGGCCAGCACAGGAAATAGTGTCACGTTTCCATACAAACCTGGCATGTTTGGTACATTAAAAATATAAATACAACTACTAAAAACACAATATGGGTGAGGGAGCAGAAGGGGGAACAGGGTAAAAACATACAATGCCCAGATCCATCACCAAATTGTAGATTCAGGGAAGAAGATTACTGGACACACAGTTGACTTTTGGAACTAGTCATTCCCTGGCGGATTTTGTATGCTGCTGCACAAAACTTTGCGACATTGTAGGTTGTAGCTGAATTAGTATCCGCAAGTAGCAGGGAGATATAAACTTGTCCTGAATGGCCTGGGTGCTTGTCTATCAAGGGTAAGATAAGCCTGGCACGGGTATCCCTGTAGAACGGACACTGAAGGAGCACATGTTCTATTGTTTCCATCTATGCCCATCTATCTCGAGGTATTGTCGAAGGCTTTCATGGCTGGAATCACTGGGTTCTTGTGCATTTTTTCGGGCTATATGGCCATGTTCTAGAGGCATTTTCTCCTGACGTTTTGCCTGCATCTATGGCAAGCATCCTCAGAGGTAGTGAGGTCTGTTGGAGTTAGGAAAATGGGTTTATATATCTGTGGAATGACTGGGGTGGGGCCAAGAGCTCTTCTCTGCTGGAGCTAGGTGTGAATGTTTCAAGTGACCACCTTCATTAGCATTGAAAGCCTGGCTGAGCCTGGGGGAATCTTTTGTTGAGAGGTGTTAAGATGTGCCTGGTTGTTTCCTCTCTGCTGTTTTGCTGTTGTAATTTTAGAGTTTTTTAATACTGGTAGCCAGATTTTGTTCATTTTCATGGTCTCCTCCTTTCTGTTGAAATTGTCCACATGCTTGTGGATTTCAATGGCTTCTCTGTGTAGTCTGACATGGTGGTTGTGAGAGTGGTCCAGCATTTCTGTGTTCTCAAATAACATGCTGTGTCCAGGCTGGTTCATCAGGTGCTCTGCTATGGCTGACTTCTCTGGTTGAAGTAGTCTGCAGTGCCTTTCATGTTCCTTGATTCGTGTTTGGGCAATGCTGCGTTTGGTGGTCCCTATGTGGATGACACCTTTACCACTTGGAGCCATGGACAAAAGATTCACCCAGGCTCAGCCAGGCCTTCAAATGCTAATGAAGGTTGTCAGTTGAAACATTCACACCTAGCTCCAGCAGAGAAGAGCTCTTTGCCCCACCCCAGCCATTCCACAGATATATAAACCCATTTTCCTAACTCCTACAGACCTCACTACCTCTGAGGATGCTTGCCATAGATGCAGGCGAAACGTCAGGAGAAAATGCTTCTAGAACATGGCCATATAGCCCGAAAAAACCCACAAGAACCTAGTATCTCCAGGTAGCATCCAACTTGTGGTCTTCCAGGTGTTTTGGACTCAATGAGAGCAGACATGATGGCCATGTTGAAATATGTGAGGGAAAGTCATAGGAAGGAGGGAGCAAGCTTGTTTTCTGCTAACTTGGAGACTAGGACACAATGGAGCAATGGCTTCAAACTACAAAAAAGAAAGGAGATTCCACTTGAATATTAGGAAAAACGTCCTCACTGTAAGGAGAGCTGTTCAGCAGTGGAACTCTCTGCCCCAGAGTGTGGTGGAAGCTTTGAAAACAGACTGTGTGCCATTTGTCGAGGGTGCTTTGAATGTGATTTTCCTGCTTCTTGACAGAATGGGGTTGGACTGGATGGCCCATGAGGTCTCTTCCAACTCTAGGATTCTATCATTCCATCTTCCGGAAGCCTTGGGCAGCTTCTCTAATGTGCAGGAATTCTGGGAGCTAAAGTCCAAAACACCCCGCGAGGTCCAAAGGTTGTGCAACTACATATTCCTGGAATTGCTCCTGCTCTTTCTCTCACCTGGCACTTCTTTCAGAGTCTTCTGAATGGCCTCCACACAATTCTGGCAGGTCATCTGGACGGCAAACTCCAACTGCAAAAAGAGAGCAAGAGAGAGAGATTGCTCAACAGTTTATAAATATCAGCCAGAAGGATAAGGAATCACATCTTATCTTGGACAGCAATGGCTCCCAAAGTGACCCATTTAAGGTGGAATCAGGTGTCAAACAGGGATGTGTTGTTGCCCCAACATTATTCTCCATCTTCATCGCTATGATACTTCATCTTGTTGACGGAGTGGAAATCATCTATCGGACATCTATCATCTATTTAACCTCAGCAGACCGAAAGCCAAAACCAAGGTTACAACATCTGTTATAGAACTCCAGTATGCTGATGACAACATTGTCTATGCCAGTGTTTCTCAACCTTCCTAGTGCTGTTACCCCTTAATCCAGTTCCTCATGTTGTGGTGACCCTGAACCATAACATTATTTTCATTGCTACTTTATAACTGTAATTTGGCTATTGTAAATATCCGACATGCAGAATGTATTTTCATTCACTGGACCAAACTGGGCACAAATACTCGATATGTGGGGTTCAGGAGACTGATTTTGTCATTTGGAAGTGGTAGTTGCTGGGATTTATAGTTCGCCTACAATCAAAGAGCATTCTGAACTCCACCAATGATGGAATTGAACCAACCTTGGCACACATGACCTAAAGAAAATACTGGAAGGGTTCAGTGGGCATTGACCTTGAGTTTGGGAGTTATAGTTCACCAATCTCCAGAGAGCACTGTGGACTCAAACAATTGTGGATCTGGAGCAAATATTGGCACAAATACTCAAAATGACCAAATGTGGACAGTGGTGGAATTTGTCGAAAATAGAGCTTGATATGTGGGAGTTGTAGTTGCTGGGATTTATAGTTCACCTACAATCACAGAGCATTCTGAACCCCACCAATGAGAAAATTGGGCCAAGCTTCCATGCAGAACCCCCATAAACAACAGATAAATACTGTGTTTCCTGATGGTCTTCGGTGACCCCTCTGACACCCCCTCGCGACCCCCCCAGGGGTCCCGACCCCCAGGTTGAGAAACACTGGTCTATGCACATTCAGAAGAAGACCTACAAGACCTTTGCAGAAGAATACGAGAAGCTCAGCCTGTCATTGAACATCGAGAAAACCAAAGTGCTGTTCCAGTAGTCGCCAGCCAATCCCTCTCCAATGCAGATACAGCTTAATGGTGTAATAATAATAATAATAATCTTTATTTGTACCCCGCTACCATCTCCCCAGGAGCCCCCGGTGGCGCAGTGGGTTAAAGCACTGAGCTGCTGAACTTGTTGATCGAAAGGTCGCAGGTTCGATTCCGGGGAGCGGCGTGAGCTTCCGCTGTCAGCCCTAGCTTCTGCCAACCTAGCAGTTCAAAAACATGCAAATGTGAGTAGATCAATAGGTACCGCTCCGGCGGGAAGGTAAGGGCGCTCCATGCAGTCATGCCGGCCACATGACCTTGGAGGTGTCTACGGACAACACTGGCTCTTCGGCTTAGAAATGGAGATGAGCACCACACCCCAGAGTAAGACATGACTGGACTTAATGTCAGGGGACTACCTACCTTACCATCTCCCCAAGGGATGACCTTCACTCAAAAAAAATGATTTTGTCATGTGGGAGTTGTAGTTGCTGGGATTTATAGTTCACCTACAATGAAAGAGCATTCTGAACCTAAACAACGATGGAATTGAGCCAAACTTGGCACACAATTCTCCCATGACCAACAGAAAATACAGGAAGGGTTTGGTGTCCTTTAATTTTGGAGTTATAGTTCACCTACATCCAGAGATCACTGTGGACTCAAACAATGAGGGATCTGGACTAAACTTTACACAAATACTCAATATGCCCAAATGTGAACACTGGCGGAGTTTGGGGAAAATAGAATCTTGACATTTGGGAGTTGTAGTTGCTGGGATTTATAGTTCACCTACAATCAAAGAGCATTCTGAACCTAACCAACGATGGAATTGAACCAAACTTGGCACACAGTTCTCCCATGACCAACAGAAAATACTGGAAGGGTTTGGTGGGCAGTGTCCTTTAATTTTGGAGTTATAGTTCACCTACATCCAGAGAAGAGAAGACAATGATGCTGGGGAAAGTGGAAGGTAAAAGGAAGAGGGGCCGACCAAGGGCAAGATGGATGGATGGCATCCTTGAAGCGACTGGACTGACCTTGAAGGAGCTGGGGGTGGTGACGGCCGACAGGGAGCTCTGGCGTGGGCTGGTCCATGAGGTCACGAAGAGTCGGAGGCGACTGAACGAATGAACAACAACAACAACATCCAGAGATCACTGTGCACTCAAACAATGATGGATGTGGACCAAACTCTACACGAATACTCAATATGCCCAAATGTGAACACTGGCGGAGTTTGGGGGAAATAGAATCTTGACATTTGGGAGTTGTGGTTGCTGGGATTTATAGTTCACCTACAATCACAGAGCATTCTGAACCCCACCAATGATAGAATTGGTCCAAACCTCACACAAAGAACCTCCATGACCACCAGAGTGGGTCACAGCAACGCGTGGCAGGGGATGGCTAGTGTATATATATATATGTGTGTGTGTGTGTTGCTGGTGTTACACTTAAAATGTACCTGTTCCAACTTAAATAGAAGTTCCACTTAAGAACAAACCTACAGAACTTGTTCATTACTTGGGGGCTGCCTGTATGCATGTCAATACTGGTTGGTTTGTCCCACAAAAACTCCTTCATGACTTAATGGATTTGGACCAAACTTGGCACGCTTTCTGACTAGAGTCTACCCCACATCACAGGAACATGAGATCTCTCATACGCATGCACGCCTTTCCTTGGTGGCTTTTCTCTGGAGCGTCTGCAGTGATTTAAACAGCCATATCTCCTGAGGATGTCAAGCCAGCAACAAACACCCACGCGGCTGGTTTAGTTGCAGGCGCCTGACTCTCACATAGGCGTTGCCCCACTGGCCTGGTGCCCAAAAGGAGGTTCGGCTGTGGGTCCCGAGAGCCCCTTCCATGCTTCCAATCCTCGCCCACAACACCAGCCCCACGTTGGGTGCCAAAATGGAGAGGCAATGGCTCTCTGGCACTCCTCCTAGCAATGGGGACAGAATGCATGGAGCATAAAAGGTCTTGTCACATCCCCAAATGGGGTTGCAAGGCTTTTTTCACTTTCATAGAATCAAATCATAGAATCAAAGAGTTGGAAGAGACCTCATGGGCCATCCAGTCCAACCCCATTCGGCCAAGAAGCAGGAATATTGCATTCAAATCACCCCTGACAGATGGCCATCCAGCCTCTGTTTAAAAGCTTCCAAAGAAGGAGCCTCCACCACACTCTGGGGCAGAGAGTTCCACTGCTGAACAGCTCTCACAGTCAGGAAGTTCTTCCTAATGTTCAGGTGGAATCTCTTTTCCTGTAATTTGTAGCCATTGTTCCATATCCTAGTCTCCAAAGCAGAAGAAAACAAGCTTGCTCCTCCTCCCTGTGACTTCCCCTCATATATTTATACCAGGCTATCATCTCCTCTCAGCCTTCTCTTCTTCAGGCTAAACATGCCCAGCTCCTTAAGCCGCTCCTCATAGGGCTTGTTCTCCAGACCCTTGATCATTTTAGTCGCCCTCCTCTGGACAAATTCCAGCTTGTCAATATCTCTCTTGAATTGTGGTGCCCAGAATTGGACACAATATTCCAGGTGTGGTCTAACCAAAGCGAATAGAGGGGTAGCATTACTTCCCTAGATCTAGACACTATGCTCCTATTGATGCAGGCCAAAATCCCATTGGCTTTTTTTGCCGCCACATCACATTGTTGGCTCATGTTTTACTTGTTGTCCACGAGGACTCCAAGATCTTTTTCACACATACTGCTCTCGAGCCAGAGACTGAGAGTATAATACAATATACTACTAATAATATGATATAATAATTGTATATTATAATGGTATATTATTTTATTTATTTGCAATATTTGTATACTGCCCCTCTCAGCCTTCCGGCGACTCAAGGCGGTTTACAAGGCAAAATTCAATACCACCAAAAACACAGTTACAATATAAAAACTTCAATAAAATCATAACAGTTATAATAAAACATAATTCAATATATACTCATCAAAACAATGTCCAATCCATCTTGTAGTTGATTCTGTTCTTATGTCTGTTACTCAGTATTCGCAAATGCCTGCTCGAATAACCATGTCTTAAAAGCGAAGAAGCCAATCTAATCTCCATGGGAAGGGCGTTCCATAGCCGAGGGGCCACCACTGAGAAGGCCCTGTCTCTCGTCCCCACCAGCCGTGCTTGTGATGATGTGGGACCGAGAGCAGGGCCTCTCCAGACGATCTTAAGGTCCTCGAAGGTTCATAAAGGGAGACCTTAACATTATTATATATTACATGCAATAATAATATTGCAGTATAGTTTTTTTTTTGTCGTGTCAGGAGTGACTCCTGGTGTGAGAGAATTGGCCGTCTGCAAGGACGTTGCCCAGGGGACGCCTGGATGATTTGATGTTTTTATCATCCTTGTGGGAGGCTTCTCTCATGTCCCCGCATGAGGAGTTGGAGCTGATAGAGGGAGCTCATCCGCCCCTCCCCGGATTCGAACTTGCGACCTGTCGGTCTTCAGTCCTGCCGGCACAGGGCACCTTGCAGTATAGTGGTATAGTACAATATAGTAACATATAATACTAACATTGTGCAATGCTAATAATTATAATATATTGTATGTACATGTACTATTGATCATAATATTGTAATACAATAATGCTAATAATAATACAATATAATTATATAGTAATAATATATTTTATATTACCATACGTGTAATATTACTAATAATTTTGCATTATAGTGGTATAGTATAATGTAGTACCTTCCTGCCAAAGCGGTACCTATTGATCTACTCACATCTGCATGTTTTCGAACTGCTAGGTTGGCAGAAGCTAGGGCTGACAGCGGAAGCTCACGCTGCTCCCCAGAATCGAACCTGTGACCTTTTGATCAACAAGCTCAGCAGCTCAGTGCTTTAACCCACTGCGCTACCGGGGGCTCCATGCAGTAACAGCACTCCATGCAGTCATGCCGGCCACATGATCTTGGAGGTGTCTACGGACAACGCCGGCTCTTCGGCTTAGAAATGGAGATGAGCACCACACCCCAGAGTCAGACATGACTGGACTTAATGTCAGGGGACTACCTTTACCTTTACCTATAATGTAGTAATATGTAACATTAATAATGTGCTATGCTAATAATATATTGTATGTATATATAACTTGTAAGCCACTCTGAGTCCTCTTTGGGTCGAGAAGGGCAGCATGTAAATGTCATAAATAAATAAATATTTAATAAATATTTATTATTTAATATTTAATATAGGTTCTTGTGGGTTTTTTCGGGCTATATGGCCATATTCTAGAGGCATTTTTCCTGACGTTTCGCCTGCATCTATGGCAAGCATCCTCAGAGGTAGTGAGGTGCCTCTGAGGATGCTTGCCATAGATGCAGGCGAAACGTCAGGAGAAATGCCTCTAGAACATGGCCATATAGCCCGAAAAAACCCACAAGGACCTAGTGATTCCAGCCATGAAAGCCTTCGACAATACATTAAATATTTTCTGTCCAACTCTGGACCTTGGAAGCTCTTTCTTTACAAATCAGCATTTTTGCAAAGGCCCTCTACAAAGAAGCAGGCACATATGGCAGCAGATCAGGACAGATGGGACTTACGGTCACTGAAAGCATCCCTGAAAATTCCCTTTTCAAACTACATCTCCCTCAACTTTATATGACTTAAAATAATGGAGGGGTTTGAACTTTAAAAAAATAAATAATAGGATCGAGGCGGATTGGCTCCTGGGCCATCCAGTCCAACCCCATTCTGCCAAGAAGCAGGAAAATTGCATTCAAAGCACCCCTGACAGATGGCCATCCAGCCTCTGTTTAAAAGCCTCCAAAGAAGGAGCCTCCACCACACTTCGCTTCAGCAGCTAAGGGGTAAAAGGAAAGGGCCTGAGGCTGTTAGGAACGGTGGGAGTTGAAGTCCAAAGCACCTGGAGGGAAAGCCCAAGTTGGCGCAGGCCTGTGCCAACCACTTGTGGAGTTCTGGCTGACTTCTAAATCTAAATCACAGAATCCTAGAGTTGGAAGAGCCCTCCTGGGCCATCCAGTCCAACCCCATTCTGCCAAGAAGCAGGAATACTGCATTCAAATCACCCCTGACAGATGGCCATCCAGCCTCTGTTTCAAAGCTTCCAAAGAGGAACCTCCACCCCACTCCAGGGCAGAGAGTTCCACTGCTGAACAGCTCTCACAGTCATGGGCCATCCAGTCCAATCCCATTCTGCCAAGAAGCAGGAATATTGCATTCAAAGCACCCCTGACAGATGGCCATCCAGCCTCTGTTTCAAAGCTTCCAAAGAAGGAGCCTCCACCCCACTCCAGGGCAGAGAGTTCCACTGCTGAACGGCTCTCACAGTCAGGAAGTTCTTCCTCATGTTCAGATGGAATCTCCTCTCTTGTAGTTTGAAGCCATTGTTCCATTGCGTCCTAGTCTCCAGGGAAGCAGAAACCAAGCTTGCTCCCTCCTCCCTGTGGCTTCCTCTCACATATTTACTACTATATATACTACTATATAATATAATGTTACTACTATATATTACTATATTAAATGGACTCATAGCATGGAGTTAGAAGGGACTCTACCATGGTATTGGAGGAGAACAGATAGGAAGGAAGGAGAGAAGAAAGGAGGGAGGGAAAAAGGGTGCTCATCTCCATTTCTAAGCTGAAGAGCTGGCATTGTCCACAGACACCCCCAAGGTCACAATTTATTGCCACAATTTATTCTGATCCACACTGTCAAAGACTTTAGAATATTCAATAAAACAGAAAGAGATGTTTTTCTGAAATTCCCTACCTTTCTCCATTATCCAGCGGATATTGGCAATCTTAATAGATTCTCTAGCAGGGGAATCACATTCAAAGCACCCCTGACAGATCGCCATCCAGCCTCTGTTTAAAATCATTGAGTTGGAAGAGGCCTCATGGGCCATCCAGTCCAACCCCATTCTGCCAAGAAGCAGGAAAATCATATTCAAAGCACCCCCGACAGATGGCCACCCAGCTTCTGTTTCAAACCCTCCACCACATAGAATCAAAGAGTTGGAAGAGACCTCATGGGCCATCCAGTCCAACCCCATTCGGCCAAGAAGCAGGAATATTGCATTCAAAGCACCCCTGACAGATGGCCATCCAGCCTCTGTTTAAACCCCACACTTCAGGCCAAGAAAGCCAGGCGACAAGGCCTCCAGAAGGGCGGCGAGACTCCTTCCCACCTTGCAAGCGACGCCTCCATTCTCTCCTCGAGCTCCGGCCATCACCGTCTTCACGAGGGTTGTTTTCCCTTCTGGGAGGAAGTGTTGCCCGCCGGACCCTTTTGAAGGCGACACGCGGGGGGCGGGGCTTAGCGGTGCAGTAGTTCTCCAGCCTCCGCGATGACGTCACGCGAAAGGTCCGTTCTCCAAAGCCTTCCCGCAGGGAGGGGGGAAAAGCGGAAGTAGAACAGAGCGGTTGCCTAGGCGACGGAGATACCAACACAGGCTTGGCTGTGGTGAGCTAGGCCGCTCAGAAACATGGCGAGGAGGGTTTACTCGGCCGCTCACTTGCGGTACACCTTGGACGATGCGGAATCCTGGGCCCAACGCCTGCGCGCCCAGTACCGCAAGGTCCTGGCTCCTCTCACCCTTTTCCCGGGTTCCTACTCTCGAGTGCGGGCCCCACTCCCAGCCGAGGCCGAGGCTGATGCGGCCTACTCCTCCTCCTCCTCCTCCAAGAGGCCTTCCTCCGCCAGGGCCACCCTATCCACGGTGCCCATCTCCCAGGCAGCCCTGCTCCAGATGGTGAGCCACAAGATGGAGCTGGGCCCGCAGTGGGCCAAACACATCCCTCTGACGCATCAGCACGCCTTCCGGGAGATCATCCTGGCCGAAGTGCGGCACGCCTACGCCGAGATCCAGCGCAGCCTCCACGACCCGGCTTTCGAAGCCCGGGTCAACCGGGAACTGTACCAACACCTGGTGACCTACGTGGGCCTGGTCTCGCAGCACCTCTTCCTGCACTACCTGTGCCTCATGAAGAACCACTGCTCGCTCAAGGTCTTCACCGACTATGCCAACCTCACCCGCTTCTCCTCGCAGCTCGCCTTGGACTGCAGCCGCTTCTTGGACATGGCCGCCGTGCGGCACCACCTCGTGGTGGAGATGAAGGCCTCGCGCAGGCGCCGGAGCCTCTCCCCGCGCAAGGCGACGCTCGTCGGAGAGCGCCCGACCCGCTCCATGGGGTGCCGCCTGGGCTTCACCATCGGGCACTTCATCCGCCTCACTCAACCCCGCACGCCGGCTCTGAGGCAAAAGAGAGCTCAGGATATCAAGGAGCTGGAAGAGATCCCGCCGTTGGATATGTGGAAGATCAAGGAACTGCGGCTCCCTACAATGGAAAGCATGATCAGGGCCACGTTGTGCGCTGATGTCACCCCGCCATGTCCGGGAAAGGACAAAAGCAAGACGGAGGCAGAGAAGAAGAAAGCTCCTGTTAGGAAAAGCCACTCTTTGCCCAATATGCGAGCCGGGCAGCTGCTGGCGGACGAGTTGGGGATCTGCATCACACCTCGGCGCCTCACTCCAGATTTGCCGTTCCGCTGCGTGGAAGGCGAGGCGAGCATGGACGCAAGCAGCCTGGCGGAAGATCTGCGGAGGCTGGTGCAAGGGTCCGTGCTGAGGAGCGGGCACGGGAAAGAAGAGGAAGAAGACGGCTTGGACCTCCCTCCGTTGCTGAAGGTCTTGACGCGCCGCAAGGCCAACGAGACCCGGATGGAGCACCTCCAGAGGATGCTGGCTTCCTTGCGGCATGAAGAGAGCTCCGAGTGGAAGCGGAGGAATACCATTATTGCTGCGCCGGCATCTCACCCGCAAGCGACAACAGTGAACTTCAAAGTCCACGAGCAAATGGTGGTGAAGGCAGCCGACCTGCAAGTCTCGGAAAGGGTCTATTCCGAGGCCATCGTCGTGGAAAGATCCCTCCCGATATACAATCACCTCCTCGGGGAGATAAACAACGCCACTCTGAAGTCTCTGGATGCCAGCCTTTTCGTCGGGGAAGAGGTCCGGGAGATGTACAAGGAGCTGATGAATACTGTCCCAAAAGACCACCTGAATTTTGACCTTGGGCCCTTGATAGAACCTTATGCTACCAAACTAGATTTGTCAGTTTGTTTCGCTTCTTCGACGCTGACCAGGAGGAAAAGTGAGCAGGTCGTGAACGAAGAGCTGGCTAACATCCTTCCCGCCGGGCCTTTCTCCCCAGAGGAAGTGGTGGACACGCTGAAGACTCCAAATCTCCCTTTCAAGAAGCCCATGAGTAAAAAACAGCATGCGTCTTGGCTGAAATGGTGGAAGAACACCTTCAACATTGATGACTACCTGAACTACATCGCGACCAAAGAGTCCGACTTTTTGCCAGTGATCTTCCATTTGTACAGCGTTGGTGGAGACGTTGAGGAGGACCTGCGGCAGCAGGCGATCCATGAGGCTGAAGTCAAGCAACAAGAGAAAGTGAAGAGAAACTCAATTAAGAAAGCTGCCCAGGTCCAATTCAAGGAGGAATTCTTTGAGCCTAAGAAAGCTGCCAAGGTCCAATTCAAGGAGAAATCGTTTGAGCCTAAGGAAGCTGCCAAGGTCCAATTCAAGGAGGAATCGTTTGAGCCGCAGTGGAGGCCTGAGAGCACGGCGAAGATGGAACTGGGAGCTCTAGTTCCTTACGACCACAAGCCTGAGGATCTCCGGGCCCTGCAGAGAAGGCTGGAAAGGCTCTGGACCGTCCTTCATTTCTCAGAGTCAGAGAGGCTCAATATGGCCATCAAGTACAGCTCCAACCAATACTATTTCTTCCTCCCCGACATGCTCAAAGCATGGGAGGAGGCGGCCCAGTTAATCCAGGAGCGGGAGCTCTTGCTGGCCGAACTGGAAAGCTTTGAGCAGACAGCGTCGGACCCAAACCGCTTGTTCAGCCAAGAGCCCCAGGCTTTTGCCTTGCGGATGAAGGAATCCAGAAGAAGGGACCACCTGCACAAGGAGCTGGCCTGGTATAATTCGGAGCTCTATGAAGTCCTGACCGAGATCAAAAAGGAGTTCAACGACACGGTGACGTTCCGAGGACGGCCCTACATGGAGAAGATGCAATGGGACAAAGTGGAGATGCTGTACTGGTTGCAGCAACAGCGCCGCGGAAGTGCCTTGAAGAGGCACACCAAAACAGGGAGACAGAGGAGGCTCCCCCCTCTTACTTAGATGTGTTGCTCTTTGAATATGCACCAAAACGGCAGTTGGGAAGGCAACCATAGAGGCTAGATTCCTCTATAAATTTAAAGCAGCAGCCCCAAATAATTTAGATCCCTTTCCTAGTCCATGGATAAGCCAAGGAGAGATTTTACTGAGGTCCAAAGATCACAAAACATTGCAAAAGCCAACGCAATTCTGGTAGCTGCAGCCACCAAATGGGACTAGAATATGTGAACATATCCCAAGATTTGATGGTCATCTAGTTCAGGCTGCTATTTGGAAATTGGCGAGATGTTTTTTCCTAATTTGTTGGGTGTCCGTAGCAGAATACGACATTTCTCACTATTTTAATTAAACAGGGTAAATGTGTTAGCCGTTATCAAGAGTGCTGTAATTGTGTACCTTTTTTTTGTCATGTCAGGAGTGACTTGAGAAACTGCAAGTTGCTTCTGGTGTGAGAGAATTGGCCGTCTGCAAGGACGTTGCCCAGGGAACGCCTGGATGATTTGATGTTTTTATCATCCTTGTGGGAAGCTTCTCTCATGTCCCCGCATGAGGAGCTGGAGCTGATAGAGGGAGCTCATCCGCCTCTCCCTGGATTTGAACCTGTGACCTGTCGGTCTTCAGTCCTGCCAGCACAGGGGTTTAACCCACTGTGCCACGCATTGTGTACCCATGCATGGCGGGGATTGGACTGGATGGCCTTTTGCAGCCCTTTACTTTTTACAGACTCCAGTATCCACGCTATTTATTGACCACATCTGGCCTGTTGACCCAGCAAACCTTACTATACAGGACTCTCAGTGCCACAACTGTGCCCTACATCACCCACATCCAAGGCCATCACATCCCAACTATGGGGCATATAGGCATTATTTGGACATCTGACATGCTGTAGTTTTCCTGTAAGGCAGTGTTTCCCCACCTTCCTAATCAAGGGCCATCCCTTGAATCGGTTCAATATTCCTGCGTCTTGGCAGGGGGTTGGACTGGATGGCCCATGAGGTCTCTTCCAACTCTATGATTCATGTTGTGGTGACCTCCAACCATAACATTATTTTCATTGCTACTTCATAACTGTTATTTGGCTGCTGTTATGAATCATAATGCTAATATCTGCTATGAAGTATTGTCATTCACTGGACCAAATTTGACACAAGTACCCAATATGCCTTAATTTGAGTACTGGTGGGGTTGGGAGGGGGGCAAGGAAATTGATTTTGCATTTGGGAGTTGTAGTTGTTGGGATTTACACTTCATAGAATCATAGAATCAAAGAGTTGGAAGAGACCTCATGGGCCATCCAGTCCAACCCCCTGCCAAGAAGCAGGAATATTGCATTCACATCACCCCTGACAAATGGCCATCCAGCCTCTGCTTAAAAGCTTCCAAAGAAGGAGCCTCCACCACACTCCGGGGCAGAGAGTTCCACTACTGAGCGGCTCTCACAGTCAAGAAGTTCTTCCTAATGTTCAGATGGAATCTCCTCTCTTGTAGTTTGAAGCCATTGTTCCGCGTCCTAGTCTCCAAGGAAGCAAAAAACAAGCTTGCTCCCTCCTCCCTGTGGCTTCCTTTCACATATTTATACATGGCTATCATATCTCCTCTCTGCCTTCTCTTCTTCAGGCTAAAGATGCCCAGTTCCCCAAGCCGCTCCTCATAGGGCTTGTTCTCCAGACCCTTGATCATTTTAGTCGCCCTCCTCTGGACACATTCCAGCTTGTCAATATCTCTCTTGAATTGTGGTGCCCAGAATTGGACACAATATTCCAGATGTGGTCTAACCAGAGCAGAATAGAGGGGTAGCATTACTTCCTTAGATCTAGACACTATGCTCCTCTTGATGCAGGCCAAAATCCCATTGGGTTTTTTTTGCCGCCACATCCCATTGTTGGCTCATGTTTAACTTGTTGTCCACGAGGACTCCAAGATCTTTTTCACACGTACTGCTCTCGAGCCAGGCATTGTCCCCCATTCTGTATCTTTGCATTTCATTTTTTCTGCCAAAGTGTAGTATCTTGCATTTGTCACTGTTGAACTTCATTTTGTTAGTTTTGGCCATTCATCTCTCTAATCTGTCAAGATCGTTTTGAATTCTGCTCCTGTCCTCTGGACTATTGGCTATCCCTCCCAATTTGGTGTCAATCTAAGTGCTCCACCAATGATGGAATTGAACTAAACTTGGCACACAGAACTCCCATGACCAACAGAAAATATTGGAAGGGTTTGGTGGGGCACTGACCTTGAGTTTTGGAGTTGTAGTTCATCTACATCCAGAGAGCACTGTGAACTCAAACAATGATGGATCCGGACCAAACTTGGTATGAATATTCAATATGCCCAAATGTGAACACTAGTAGAGTTTGAGGAAAATAGACCTTGACATTTGGGAGTTGTTACTGGGATGTATAGTTCACCTACAATTAAAGAATATTCTGAACCTCACCAATGATAGAATTGGGCCAGACTTAACACATAGAACCCCCATGACCAACAGAAAATACTGTGCTTTCCGATGGTCTTTGGCGACCCCTCTGACACCCCCTTGTGACCCCCCTCGGGGTCCTGACCCCCAGGTTGAGAACCACTGCTCTAGCACTGCCCTAGACCCTGTTTGGCCTTGCGACCAAGCAGGAGTACCTCTGTCTTGTCTGGATTCAACTTCAGTTTGTTTGCCCTCATCCAGACCGTCACAGTGGCCAGGCACCGGTTCTAGACCTGGACAGCCTCCTTAGTAGCAGGCGGAAAGGAGTAGCTGTAGGAGACATGAATGCCAATTTTGGATTTCTAACCGATTTATTTCTAAGTCCGGGCAACAAAGAGACCCAAATCTCCAGGAGGCTGTTACAAATGTTTTTTTTTATTTCCTTGAGCAAGGTGGGGTGGGTGGGGGAAAGGTGAAGAGTGTTCAGTGAACAAAAGAATCACAGGTTAGGTTCAATATATGAAGGACAGGATGCCACAGGAGGGGCCAAAACTCAAGTTTGTACATCGGTGACTTCTCATAGGAAAAGAAACAGGAAATGCTTCTACTTAATTCCCAAATTCAGCTGGTTCAGGAGGAAGGGAACACCTCTGGCTGAGTTGAGGGAAAAGGCAGTGGCTCAAAACAGGATCCTTGCCTCTGTGTGCCTCTCTCTCTCACACACACAATAGAAATCCACAAAGCAACAACCAGGGCTTCTCCGAATAAGAGGGTGCGAGGCCCGCGGAGGTCAAACTCCTTTGCCAACCCCTGGCCCCTCTTTCCGACCCCCGCAAGCACTTCCCGGGAATTGTATAAAAAATGAAGTTAGCTGTCACTAAGTCTCAAAGACGCACAAAATGTCCACTAAGTGAGGCCATGCTAAACACAAATCGACACACATCGTGAAGCCTGGCACAGTATTTGCCGCGGGCGTGTACCGCAGGAACCCGACGTCCAGCCCTCAAATAGCCTCCCTGAAAAATAAAAGACACAGTTCATTTGAAGGCCCACGGACACGGTCTCAGTGCCAAGAGGAAAGCCCACCGATGGACGGGGCAGGAGCACGACACACCGGCCTTCCCGTCTAGGAATGATGTGCCCAACTACATCACTGCATGGAGTTGTGGAAGGAAGAGATATGAGAGGAAGGGAAAAACAGATTTGTAACCACGACTTCGCGGATAGTTCTAGGACAGAAACGGCAACAACAACATATTCCTGCAATAATTACAAAGGATGTCTCTCACACTGACTAAGGTAAAGGTTTTCCCTGATACTATGTCTAGTTGAGTCCGACTCTGGGGGTGGTGCTCAACTCCATTTCTAAGCCGAAGAGCTGGCGTTGTCCATAGACACTTTCTAGGTCAGGGGTCCTCAAACTTTTTAAACAGAGGGCCAGGTCACAGTCCTTCAAAGTGTTGGAAGGCCGGATTATAATTTGAAAATTATAATCCAGCCACTGGCTATTTATACTCACTGGGGAGAGTGGGCGGGGCTACTGCCAAAAATGTTTACTAACTCTCTAAAACAGTGGTTCTCAACCTGTGGGTCCCCAGATGTTTTAGCCTTCAACTCCCAGAAATCCCAACAGCTGGTTAGCTGGCTGGGATTTCTGGGAGTTGTAGGGCAAAACACCTGGGGACCCACAGCTGTTCTGCGCAGGTGCAGGAATTACCATATGTGCAATTCACAGTTGACCACGATGGGAAACACTGCACATATCTTATTTGTAGTGCAAAGAAAAAAACAATACATTAATTAAAACGAAGAACAATTTTAACAAATATAAACTTATTAGTATTTCAATGGAATTGTGGGCCTGCTTTTGGCTGATGAGATAAGATTGTTGTTATTGTTGTTGCTGTTGTGTGCTTTCAAGTCGTTTCAGACTTAGGATGACCCAGAGTGAGGGCCAGGTAAATGATCTTGGAGGGTTGTATCTGGCCCTCGGGCCTTAGTTTGAGGACCCCTGTTCTAGGTCATGTTCTAGGTCATGCAGGATGACTGCATGGAGTGTTGTTACCTTCCTGCTGAAGCGGTACTTATTTATCTATTCACACTTACATGTTTTCAAACTGCTAGGTTGGCAGAAGCTGGGGCTAACAGTGGGAGCTCAACCCGCTCTCCGGATTCGAACAGCCAACCTTTTGGTCAGCAAATTCAGCAGGAGCCCCTGGTGGTGCAATGAGTTAAACCTTTGTGCTGGCAGAACTGCTGAGTGACAGGTTGGAGGTTTGAATCCAGGGACAGCAGGTTGAGTTCCCTCTGTCAGCTCCAGCTCCTCATGCAGGGACATGAGAGAAGCCTCCCACAAGGATGGTCCTCTGGGCAACGTCATTGCAAATGGCCAATTCTCTCACACCAGAAGCAACTTGCAGTTTCCCAAGTTGTTCCTGACATGAAAAAAAAACTTGCATGCTTTCAAACAGCTAGGTTGGCAGGAGCTGGGACTAACAGCTGGAACTCACCCCACACCCCAGATTTGAACCGCCAACTTTTCAGTTAGCAAGTTCAGCAGCTCAGCGGTTTAACCCACTGCACTATCAGGGGGCCTACACTGACTAAATCAGAGTGGAAATGTAGGAAATCTTTTTTAGGGAAACATTGAAGAACGCAACAGCTTGAAGATGACCGTTCCATTTCAAAGCCAGTCTCAGGGCAAGTTCTGGGGTATCGGATTAAAATGACACACAACGCAGCAGTTTGGGACTCACCTTTTCCCCACGTTGCTGCACACACATCCAAGGAAGAAGAATTAAGGCTGGCCTTTACCCAGTTGCAAGCAATGACTGCACAGTTTGGAAGTTACTGCTTTGTTTACACTTCCCAGAAACCCTTAACCAACATGACCAGGAATATGTCCTTTCCCAGCCCCGTCATCCAAGATCCTTTTGAAACTGGAGATTTAGGGAATTGAAGCTGAGGCTGTGCCACTAAACTACTCAAAGAAAGGAAACTAAATGCTATTATATTTTGTTCGGTTGCCTAATGGTCAAGGTCTGGACAACACCATTCCAGCAGCACAGCTTGCTCCAGTTGTGCTGACCACTAACTAGTATGCAACTGTACCTGCAGCAGAATCCGGAGCTCCAGATACCAGCTGATATCCGCCAGAGCGACATCCAGGGCTGGCCACTCTCCCAGTTCTCATTGGCATCCGCACCAATGGGACACCCTCCCTCCTCCTCCAAGCCATTCATGAAAAAACGCGCTCACCTCCAGACTCAATACGCGGAGTACCGCAACCTGTCCGCGCCTGCATCCCGCCCGAACCGCTGGACATCGTAGAGGGAGGATCGCGGGACGGGAGACAGCTGAACCCGCTCGTATCCGTACACGTCTCCGGCGGTGGAAGCCACGGCGGCCGAGCGACGCAGAGGGCTTCTATCCCGTGTGTAAAAGGAAGAAGTCGCGGCCGCAGCAGCGGCGGCGGCAACCGCCACCGCAGTTCCCGAAGCTGGAAGCAAGGCCCTCTCGTAGGGGTCTAAGGCGGTAGTGAGGCGGCTGGCCATAGCCGTGGCTTGCGAATACTGGGCATACTGGGAATACTGGGCCATGGTTTGCTCTGCATAAGCGTCGTATGCAGAAGCCCCGTACGCCGCGGCCGACCTCGCGCGGTACCGTTTATAGTAATCCACCATTCCGTAAGGGTCATCGTAATACACGGGGTCCCCATAGCCCGTAGGGTAGGGGGTGCGCACCACGCTGTATTGCTCGCTATAGGTTTCGGTCAACTCAGGCACTTGCCCCGTGCGATCGACCGGGCACTCTTTAGACCAGTGACCCTCCTTCCCACACCGGTAGCAGCCACTCTTGTCTCCCATCCCGGGCGCGGTCCTGAGCCGGCTGGTGGACAACTGCACGCGCATTCGTTTGCCTTGAAGAAACAGACGCAAGAAGGGCAGCTATAAAGGTTGGTTAAGAACAGTTCACAGCAAAAGCACAGCAGGTCAGACTTTTCAAGGGGGAACAGAAACAAATCAGGGAACGACCAGTTGGTCCAGTCCGCCACAACTCACAGCGCAGGAGATGCACAAACACGTCCTCGTGCCACATTATTCCTCACCACAAAAAGGGTGCGGGCCACGTTCTCTCTTAATATCCACCAGCCAAGCCAGCTGCTTGGGAAGCAAAATGCTTGGCAGCAGCAGATTTTTTAAGACTGCACAGCATTTTGGCTGCAAAAACCAGAAAAATGCCAGCAGGCCTACAGAACGATACCCACAGATCCCAATAATCTCATAGCCAAGGTGCTCTCTGGAACGCCCCTATGAAATCACAGCTGCCACAACTGTGTTGCAATACCATATATACTCAAGCATAAACTGAATTTTCAGCACTTTTTTAAGGCTGAAAAAGCCCACCGCCCAAGCTTATATTTGAGTCAAGGTTATTTATTTTGGTATTATTATTACATTTATTATTTTTCTCTATTATTATTATTACATTTATTATTTTCCTATATTTATTACTGTCGTTATTACATTTATTATTTTACTCTATTATTTTATTTATTCATTTACTTGCTTACAGTATTTATATTCCGCCCTTCTCACCCCTCAGGGGACTCAGGGTGGATTACAATGTACACATATATGGCAAACTTTCAATGCCAATTTGACATACAACATATACAGACATACACAGAGGCGATTTAACTTTTTCTGGCCGCCAGGGGAGCTGTCGCTTTCCTCATCCATCTGCGACACTGATGAAGTACTTCCGCATTCCCTGCATGCTTTTGCTGGAGTCTTTTTTATGGCCTCATAAATTAGTTAATTTAGCCTCCCCACACTTTAAGGTGGTACCTAATTTTCCTAATTGACAGGTGCAACTGTCTTTCGGGTTGCAAAGGTCGACAACAGGCTGCACAATTGGTTGGAAGCCCACTCCAACCCGGGCTGGCTTCGAACTCATGACCTTTTGGTCAGAGTGATCTTAATGCAGCTGACACTCAGCCAGCTGCGCCACAATCTTTATTTATACCCTGCTCCATCTCCCCCAGGGGGACTTGGTGCGGCTTACATGAGGCCATGCCCAAAAATACACAATATAACACAAAAGCACACCAAAACCAGAAATGAAATACATAAAATGCAAAACCAATATAATGAACAAACAGCAAAAGCAAATCATACATTAAAACACAAAGGATCAGGCTGGGCAGGGCCGAACTCAATGATAAAATTTTTAAAAACGCTGGGAGATAGGACAATATAAATTACTATAATAAATGTAATTATTACCATTACATTTTTCTCTATTTATTATTATTGCATGTATTATTTTTCTCTATTTATTATTGTTATGTTTTTTATTTTACTATTATAATTACATTTTTTCTCTATTACTGTTATTATGTTTACTATTTTACTATTATTATTACATTTATTATTTTACTCTATTATTATTGTTATTATTTTATTACATTATTTTACTCATTTACATTGAAGAAGGTTAGGATAATGGTTTCATCAGAGTTGAATAATAGTTTCATCAGAGTAGGAGCCCCCGGTGGCGCAGTGGGTTAACCCCTTGTGCCAGCAGGACACAGGTTCGAATCTGGGGAGAGTGTGGATGAGCTCCCTCTATCAGCTCCAGCTCCTCATGCGGGGACATGAGAAGTCTCCCACAAGGATGGTAAAATATAAAAAAACAAACATCTGGGCGTCCCCTGGGCAACGTCCTTGCCGACAGCCAATTCTCACACTTTATTATTACTGTTATTATTACATTTATTATTTTAGACTTTATTATTATTGGAAGGACACAGAAGCACATTTACATTGAAGAAGGTTAGAATAATGCTTTAATCAGAGTTGGGCAATCTTATCTTAAATTACAGTTTCATGTAAATATTCAAAAACATTGAACCTACCGATGCCTCATTTAATGTCGTTTTATTGGTATCTATTTTTATTTTGAAATTGACCAGTAGCTGCTTCATTTCCCACCCTTGGCTTATACTCAAGTCTCAGTTTTTTGCGGCGAAATTAGGTGCCTCGTCTTATATTTGGGTCAGGCTTATACTCGAGTATATATGGTAGCTAAAATGCTTACAGAGGCTTGGAAACCAACGTGAACAATTCTGGGAGGTCTGGGAAATGGTCTCTGATCTTGACCATGACACTCACAGCTCACGCATTCTTATTTTTATCACTTTTGGGAAAGGGGATGCTGTTTTGAATGTTTTTTTTCCCCCAGGTGAAGGATCAGATGGGCTCCATGTAGGAGTTCTCACAGGATTGGCCCTTTCAGGTCCTAGAGGTATGAAGACTCAGAGATGGTCCTGGATTCATCGCTGAGCCTGGAACCCCAGGGGAGCTTTTGCACAGTTAAAACTCATGCACCAGCTGCGCCCGTACCTTGGGAAGTCTGATCTGGCCACGGTCGTCCACGCTCTGGTTACATCCCAAATAGATTACTGCAACGTGCTCTACGTGGGACTGCCTTTGAAGACGGTTCGGAAACTTCAGCTAGTCCAACGGGCGGCAGCCAGATTACTAACTGGGGCGACATACAGGGAGCATATCACCCCCCTGTTGTGCCAGCTCCACTGGCTGCCAGTCCATCTCCGAGCCCAATTCAAAGTGCTGGTTTTGATCTATAAAGCTCTGTATGGTACTTGTCCGAACGCATCCACCCCTATGTCCCATCTCGTAATCTAAGATCATCCAGGGAGACCCTGCTCTCGCTCACGTCAATTGCACAAATGCGTCTGGCGGGGATGAGAGACAGGGCCTTCTCAGCGGTGGCCCCTTGCCTATGGAACACTCTCAAATGAGGTTAAGATCTGCTCCCTCCCTCCTGGCTTTCAGAAAGAAATTAAAATCATGGCTTTGGGACCAGGCCTTCGGACAGTAGATGTTTGTAGAGTTTAAAGGACATGGACTAGAATGACAATATGACTTAAAAATTTATTGTTTTAATTATTGCTTATGTACTGTCTAATTATGATTTATGTTTAATTGTGTTTTTATTATTGTGGTTGTTATGAATTGGCATCGCGTCAGTGTCCAATGTATGGCATTGAGGTTTTGCCAGTTATGTGTAAACCACTTTGAGTCTCCCTAGGGGTGAGAAAAGCGGTATAGAAATACTGTAAATAAATAAATAAGACCCAGATTCAATCAGCTCAGAATTCCCTCCTGAACGACCACAGGAAGGTGGTATATTCTGGGACTACAGAAACATTTAGTCTGCAGCTCAACAAGGACACAATTGACACGAACCGTGAAGCCTCGCTGGTAGGATCTATAGATGAATTTAGCTGATACCAATGCAGCACAAGGTCAGATTCATGCACAGTTGCCACTGGCCATGCGCCTTGCGATGCCATTTGCAGGAACCGACACTATCCCCACCAGCTCCGTTTGGACAGGTGCTCCTCACCTGATATTTTACCCTGCTTTAAAGTTTGATTCCACCATGCTGAAACACTGCTTGAGAAGGGTCATCCTCCCAGTAGACTCAAGTCACATGCTTAAAAACCCCTGGTGACACCCTTCTCCAAGATGTCTGCTCCCTTTCAACCTTCTGACTCCAAAGTCCGATCGACCTCACTGTCCTCAACATGTCTAAGCACAGCTCAAAAGCCATTTTTGCTCCCTGCCTTCAGACACAAACACGCAGCTCGGAAACACTGCCTGCAGCTGGATTTAGTCGTAATTGCAATTTTTTTGCATGGAATCATGGTCTGTATATCCAGGGACAATGGGGTAGACTGTGTACACCCCAGAAAGACCATCAAGAGGAATGTTCCCACCTCAAAATAACACTTAATATAGCCAAAAGTTTCTATTTTCTCTCTCTAAGGTATGAAAACAACTAAATTTAAAGATGGTCCTCAAACTAAGGCCCAAGGGCCGGATACGTCCCTCCAAGGTCATTTACCCGGCCCTCACTCAGGGTCAACCTAAGTCTGAAATGACTTGAAAACACACAACAACAACAACAATCCTATGTATTGTCGAAGGCTTTCATGGCCGGAATCACTGGGTTGTTGTAGGTTTTTTCATGCGATATGGCCATGTTCTAGAGGCATTCTCTCCTGACGTTTCGCCTGCATCTATGGCAGGCATCCTCAGAGGGTTGTTGTGAATTTTCCAAGTTGTATGGCCATGTTCCAAAAGCATTCTCTCCTGACATTTCACCTGCATCTATGGCAGGCATCCTCAAAGGGTTGCTGTAAATTTTTCGAGCTGTATGGCCATGTTCCAGAAGCATCAATTCACACACCTCTCTGTTAACCTTTAAGGGAAGGGAAATGCCAAGCACATATTTTCACAATTGTTTGGGGGATTTATTATATTGCAGTTCAGTGGATTTAATTACTGTTGACTAATGCTTTTGCAATGTTTTATTCAATTGAATTTTATGCATTAGCTGGAAAGGTCTATAAATATATTTGCAAAAACAATAATTACATGAACCATCCTGTAGGTATAGGATTACGGACAGAAGCACAGTGCACATTTTTTCATCCACTGTTGTGAATGCAACCACAAAACAGATACTAGAATCAATATCCAACTATAGTTGAAATCCTGTTGAGGATTTCTGTATATGTAAACACTGTAGTAATATAGACCTCACTACCTCTGAGGATGCTTGCCATAGATGCAGGCGAAACGTCAGGAGAGAATGCCTCTAGAACATGGCCATATAGCCCGAAAAAACCTACAACCCAACAACATCCTATCTCAGCCCATGCTTCCCACTTAAATAGTAATAAATTGTTCTTCATTTTAATTATTATATTGTTTTAAAGTGTTTTTGCACTACAAATAAGATGTGTGCAGCATGAATAGGAATTCATACATGGTTTTTTTTTTCAAATTATAATCTGGCCCTCCCAACTGTTTGAGGGACTGTGAC